AACTTGCAGCTACTGCAAAGTTTGCTTGGTGTGAAAATCAGCTCCATGAGTGGAGTCATTCTGCCAAAGATCTTTCTGATATTCCAAAGTAAACTCCAGATTTTGTCTGAAAAACTACATACTTATCTTGAGAAAGTAAGCTCTATTTCTAAATGCCCACTGTAATACAGTGTTAAAATGCTTCCATAACTTGAAGTAGAGCTTCACTGAACATCACAAGTTATTCATCTTCCAAAGTGAAGTAAGTGGAACAATCAAGTATGTGTTAGTTCTTTCTCAACATTTCGTAGTAAGAGGGTTTCTTGAATCATAGTTTCCTTTGAAAGTGTAGTGCATTCTTAGGCCCAAAACTCAACTTGCAGCTACTGCAACGTTTGTTAGGTGTGAACATCAGCTCCATGAGTGGAGTCATTCTGCCAAAGATCTTTCTGATACTCCAAATTAAACTACAGCTTTTGGCTGAAAAACTACATACTTATCTGTGGAGCGCCCCCGCCCATCACCTACAGCGCTCATCTTAAAGATGGCACCTAGCGGAAGCTCACTAAGCGCTCGAAGTTGTAAACAACTTCAAGGAAGTGGTGCGCGAGGAGCGTGGAGAGCACGGGAACATCACATGCAGCCAATCCCTACCCGAGAACTGATTTCCGCACAGGTGGACAACGTCCTGATTGGCCAGGGGCCCTTTATAAGGTCCTAGGGTTGGGGAGGAAGGAAAGAATTCCTGTATTCAGAACCTGGGGAAATAAAGTGCTGAAGAGAAGACCGTCTCCGGAGTCGTCAGTTGCGCGGCAGGGTTGTTGTAATTATTACTATCAAATAGCTACTACTTATTGAATACTTACCTTGACAATTATTTTATACGCATTATATTATTTAATCCTCATAGAAACTCTAAAAAAAATTAAACTTGTCTCCATTTTACAGATGGGAATACTTGGTTTTATGGGGGGAACATGGAAGAGCTGGGATTTGAACCCAGAATCTTAGTCATGATGTGTTCTGCTTTTTCTATGATATAAAATTCATAGTAAGAACAAAAGGAAAAACAACATCTTTATACCTTATGTTTCTCAAGAAGTAGCTTAGCTACTTCAATGTGGCCACACTGAATTGCATCCATGAAGGGGGTGACACCACAGTTGTCTCTGCAGTCTGGTTCATACTGGCACCTAGAGCCAAAGTGCAAGATAACAGCTGACAATATTTGCTGCTTCAAACCCCATGGACAGCTAATGCTGGATTTCCGGCAGGTGGAATGCATGCTTTAGCAATCACCCGTGACTCCTGAGCTCTCTCCCTCTTCTCCTCTTAGTATACAGACTGGGCTGAGTCTTCAGGAACATACTGATCTTCCCCAGCAAACCCATTCCCTCAACCTTCTCCATGCCATTTGATGGCACCTTCATCTCTACAACTTCTTATGCCAGAAGCCTTGAAGGCATCCCTGCTGTTGTCTTTTCTTTACCCCTCATAACTAATCAACTACCCAAATCTCTCAAGTCTACAGCCAAAATATTCTTAAAAATATGCCTCTTCCAGGACCAGCAGATGGTGTAATGGTTACGTTACGGGATGCCCACATGGTTGAACATGGTTCTGAGTCCTAGATTCAGTGGTTTAAAACTCATGCAGGGCGCATGTGCATGCATGCCCAAGATCCTGAGAGGAGAATGGAAAAGGGACTGTGGGGTGGCCATACCCCCGGGGAGGGTGATTTCTTGCTTTTTGCCTCTCTGTCTCTGTCTGTCCCACCAGCACATGTGCCCTATGGCAAAATTTTAAAAAGTCTCTTCCTTCTCATCTCTGCTTTCACCCCTTAACACCAAGTCAACAGGCAGTGGCCCCTCCTAACGTTATTTCCTCCTTGACTCTTGTCTGACTACTCCATTCTCCTTGGCAACCACAGTTCTTTCCCACAATGTAGTTGGATAAGGGCATTCCAGCTTAAAACCTTAAACTGCTCTCACTGAATGAGGGACAAATATCTTGACTCTCTGCACATCTCCCAGCATCTCTCAGCATAGTAACTGCTTCCTATAGCTGAGCACCTTCCTGTCTTTACAGGAAGCCCCAAACAGGGACTCAGCAGGCGTAAGGGCAGGAAGGCGCTCAGCTTTCATTCTTCTTGGGGTTAATCCCAAATCACCTTTCCCATCTATATCACTGTACTGACAATGACATGTAAAATCTTTGACAGCATTCATTTTCCCTTTCACTGTTTAGGCTTCAGCACATTCTGAACTTCTTTCAGTTTCTTAAATGTACTATTTTCCTCTGGCTCAAGAGCATCCATGGACGCTCCACTAGGAAGCCTGCCTTGCCTCTCACTGTTGACTCATTTGTATCCTTCCTTCCGATCAGAACGTAAATATTGCTTGCTCTGAGATTCCTTTCTCCTGGACCGTGTGCTCTTTATGTCTTGCTGCCACGGAGAACCTGTGATGCTGCATAAGGAGCACTGGCTTGCTGGACTTGTGCAGAGACGGTCATCACTCCACTCCTACCAGTCCCTGAGCTTCATGAGGGTGGAAACCAAGTCTGCCTTGTTTTTGTAGTGTCCCCTGCACCTACTACAGGTCTTAGTTTACATCAGGCATTTGAGTAAATACATGACTATTCTTGAATAGAGAAATGGATGATTTTGCCGCTAAAATCTTTTCCCATGTTTATCAGCTACTTTTGTTTTATATTCTTTATCTGCTTATGTCCTCTCATTTTTAATTGCCCCCTTCTTTTCTTTTCTTTTTTTTTTTTTTTAAGGTTTGTACCATAGGGTACATGCACTTCCAGGAAAGTGAGAAATCAACCCCCTTCCAAGAAGGAATGGCCACATCTCAGTCCTTTCTCCTCCATTCTCCTCCTGGGATTTTGTGCATGTACATATGTGCACCTGGCATGAGTTTCAAGCTGCCAAGTCTAGGACTTGAACCACGGTCGGGCATTGCCTTGACCACTATGCCACCTCCTGGCCCTCAACTTCCTTTTTTTTTTAAGATGGCCAGAGGGACCAGCAGATGGCATAATGGTTACATTGCCGGACTCCCATGTAGTCAACGGTGGTTTGAGTCTCAGATCTGGTGACTTAGACTCATTCCAGGTGGGTGTGGGTGTGGGTTCTAGGACTTGAACCACGGTCGGGCATTGCCTTGACCACTATGCCACCTCCTGGCCCTCAACTTCCTTTTTTTTTTAAGATGGCCAGAGGGACCAGCAGATGGCATAATGGTTACATTGCCGGACTCCCATGTAGTCAACGGTGGTTTGAGTCTCAGATCTGGTGACTTAGACTCATTCCAGGTGGGTGTGGGTGTGGGTGCATGCCCAAGATCTAAAGAGGAGAACGGAGAAGGGATTGTGGTGTGGCCATCCCCCTTGGAGAGGGGGTGTGATCTCTCACTTTCTGTCTCTCTGATAAGTGCACATACCCTATAGCAAAAATCTCTCTCAAAAAAAAAAAAAAAACAAAAAAAAACAAAAAAAAAAACCACCCACTCCAGGTGAGTGTCTGTGCATGCTCAAGATCCCAAGAGGAGAATGGAAAAGGGATTGCAGCATGGCCATGCCACTGAGGTGAGATTTCTCATTTTCACTCTGTCTCTCCATCTCTCTGGTGAGTGCACACCTCCTATAACAAAAATCTGTCTTTTTAAAAAAAATTTTTTTTGAGAGTTTTTTGCTATAGGGTGCATGCATGCGCTCGCCAGAAAGACAGAGAGAGACAGAGAGACAGAAAGTGAGACATTACCCCCGACCCCCCCAAGGGGGATGGCACGTGGCAATCCCTTCTCCTCCATTCTCCTCTTGGGATCTTGGGCACGCACGCACACACTGGGTTTGAGTTAAAGCCACTGGGTCTGGGACTCGAACCACGGTTGACTACATGGGAGTCCAGCGACATAGCCATTATGCTAACTGCTGGTCCCTCAAAAATCTGTCTTTTAAAAAAAAGTTGCCAGAGGATGCATGTGCTTGCCAGGGAAGAAGAGAGAAAGCATCCCCTAATGGGGTGTGTTTATGCCTCAATCCCTTCTTCATTTCTCCATCCTGTTAGGATTTGGGGCATACATGCACATGTGCTTGGTGAGATTTTCAAGTTGCCAGGGCCAGGATTTGAACTGTGGCTGGTCAACCATGTGGGATCTGGCTCCCTTATGCATCAGGCCACAGGGCTGGCCTAGGAAGCTTACATTCTTTTTTTTTTTGGGGGGGGGGCGGGAGGTTTTTCTATAGGGCATGTGCGCTAGCCAGAAAGAAAGAGACAGACAGAAAGCGAGAAATTACTCTCCAGGGGGGATGGCCACACTGCAATCCCTTCTCCTCCATTCTCCTCTCGAGATCTTGGGCACGTGCGCACACACGTTAGTGTGAGTTTAAGCCACCGGGTCTGGGACTCAAACCGCGGTCAGCTACATGGGAGTCCAGCAACACAGCCATTATGCTAACTGCTGGTCCCTGAAAGCTTACATTCTTAACAATGTATCTGAGCTCTTTATGTAGCACCAATATTAAATCTTTGTCATAACTAACAAGTAAATTCCCAATGTGCTTTTTGTTCTTACCTCTCAAGAAGGACTTCTACTGCCTCTAAACAGCCATGCATTGCTGGGAGAAGAGAGTTAAGAATTAGGCTTTTTAGTGTATATATGAAATGCTTATTTCCTTCTGGCTCTGCTCTCTGTCTCTTCCTTTTAATTATGACTAGAAAAATTTAAAATGTAACTGGCTAAGTGGTAAGAAATAACGGTTTCACTGTACACGTACACAGCCGATACTTGATTATCTTATGTTTAGGAGCACTTTCATGGCAAACTTTCTTTTTTTTTTTCCAAAGAATTATTTATCTTTATTTATTTATTTTTAAAGGATTATTATTTATTTATTTATTTATTTATTTATTTATTTATTTATTTTAATTTGACTACAGAGGGATAGAAAGAGAGAGAGAGAAAGTAAGCCACCAGGTCCAGGATTTGAACCATAGTTGGCCATGTGGGAGTCCAGCGGCCTTAACCACCACACCACCTGCCAGCTCCCCACGGCAAACTTTCAATCCTTACTTTTGTGCTACAAATTCATGAGACTATTCAGTTTCTTCCCAGAAAATGCAAAACATTTCAGTAGTAATCCATGAAAAAATAACTAAGAATTAAATTCTTCTACTAAAACAATTATACTTTTTTTTTTCTTTTTTCAGAGAGTTTTTTGCTATAGGGTGTGTGAGCTCGCCAGAGAGAGACAGAGAGACAGAAAGTGAGAAATCACCCCCCAAGGGGGGATGGCCACACAGCAATCCCTTCTCCTCCATTCTCCTCTCGGGATCTTGGGCATGCACACACACGCGCCTGGCGTGACTTTAAGCCACTGGGTCTGGGACTCAAACTGCAATCGACTACATGGGATCCAGCGACACAGCCATTACGCTAACTGCTGGTCCCAAACAACCATACTTAATAAAGATTTTGACTATCTGTTCTCCACTATTTTGAGTGGATGGTAGGGTGCTGACTTTTCTCCAGTGCAGTAAGTGGGGGAGGAAGCTGGTCATAAAATTAATGAGCTAGAGAAAAACTTTAAAAATTTTTTTCCCAGCGACACAGGCCAGAGAGAGAGAGAGAGTGAGAGAGAGAGAGAGAGAGGGAGAGGTGCACAGAGAATGGAAGAGGAAGAAAGCACCTCCCAGTGGGGCAGTTAAGCCGTAATTCTTTTTCTCCCATTTTTCTATCCTGTTGAGATTTTGGACATGCACACATAAGCGCCTGGTATGTTTTTCAAGCCTCTGGGACTGGGATTTGAACTGTGCAGACAGTCATGTGAGATCTGGCTCCCTTAACACTTGGCTATAAGCTGGCTTGAGAAGTTTCTCTCACAAAGCTATTAAAAAAAAAATCCTTGGTGGGGCCGGCAGATGGCGTGGTGGTTAAGGTGCTAGACTTCTCACATGGGAAGGTGGTTAAGGTGCTGGACTCCTCACGTGGGAACCAAGGTTCGAGTCCTGGACTTGGCAGCTTGCTTTCTTGCTTTCCTTCTCTCTAGTCAAAATTTAAAAATGATGATAATAATAATGATAATAATAATAAATAAAAGTAAATAAATAACTATAAAAAAATTTCATTGATCCCTACCTGCCAACTGTGGCTAAAGAGTAACCATATGCGTATTTCCTAAAATATATCATGTTACAGGTATTGATTTTTTAGTGAAACTAAAAGCCCTGTGTCTTAGTTCAGTGTACAGGTTAGTATCCCTCATGTGAAAAGCTTGAGACCAGAAATATTTCAGATTTTGGATTATTTGCATCAACTTAATGAGATATCTTGGGGTGTGGGACCCAAGTCTAAACATAAAATTTGTTTATGTTTTCTGATATATATAACCAGACAGTAATTTTATACAGTGCTTTTGTATTGTAGTGTTTGACTGTGATCTATCATGTAAGGCCAGGTGTGAAATTTTCCACTTTGGTGTCATGTCAGTGCATAAAAAATTACAGATTTTGGACTTTTTGATTAGGGATGCTCAACCTGTATTATCCAGAAGCCTAAAGGCTATTTTCTATATTTCTTGATCTGGATTCTTGGGCTCCTTAATTTCAGCTTCTCATGGTACAGCAATTTTATTCTTTTACTAATGAAAAATAATCTATAAATAGATCATTCAGAATTAAGAATCACTACTCTAAACAATGAGAACTGTATTTTAAGTATACATTTGGCATCATCACTAGGTAAGTCAAATACACTTGGGTCCATATATTTCATTATAAGCACCTATATTTGTTTACATAGTGCTCTACAGTAGGTTAGACAACAGGGCCATTCTTTTCCTCCTGTCGTTAATAATAGCAATGTGACAAAGATACAGAAAATAGCAGCAATGAGTTATTTTGTTTTCTCTATGTGCCAAGCACTGACTAGGAATCTCATGTGTGTTGTGCTCCTTAAACACTACAACTATCCTGTGACATGGCCCTTATCACTATCACTTTGCTGATGAGGAAACTTACTCAAGAGACTAAGTTCCTTGCTCAAGGTCAAGGACTTCATAAAAAAATAAAACCAGTTTACTGTCTAACTAATTAGGAGAAGACAGATATACATGAAGAGTAACCTAAGACAAAGACAACCATGCTGACCAAGTTACATTAACTTTAGAAACTAATTGTATTAATGCAACTGGCAGGTGGCATGGTAGTTAAAGGCACTAGAGTCCCACAAGGCCGACTATGGTTCGAGTCCCAGACCTGGTGGCTTGCTGTCTCGCTTTCCCTTTCTCTCTCTGTCTCTGTCTGGTCACATTAAAAAATAGTAACAAATGGAATTAAATAAATAATTCAGAATTAAGAATCACTACTCTAAACAATGAGAACTGTATTTTAAGTATACATTTGGCATCATCACTAGGTAAGTCAAATACACTTGGGTCCATATATTTCATTATAAGCACCTATATTTGTTTACATAGTGCTCTACAGTAGGTTAGACAACAGGGCCATTCTTTTCCTCCTGTCGTTAATAATAGCAATGTGACAAAGATACAGAAAATAGCAGCAATGAGTTATTTTGTTTTCTCTATGTGCCAAGCACTGACTAGGAATCTCATGTGTGTTGTGCTCCTTAAACACTACAACTATCCTGTGACATGGCCCTTATCACTATCACTTTGCTGATGAGGAAACTTACTCAAGAGACTAAGTTCCTTGCTCAAGGTCAAGGACTTCATAAAAAAATAAAACCAGTTTACTGTCTAACTAATTAGGAGAAGACAGATATACATGAAGAGTAACCTAAGACAAAGACAACCATGCTGACCAAGTTACATTAACTTTAGAAACTAATTGTATTAATGCAACTGGCAGGTGGCATGGTAGTTAAAGGCACTAGAGTCCCACAAGGCCGACTATGGTTCGAGTCCCAGACCTGGTGGCTTGCTGTCTCGCTTTCCCTTTCTCTCTCTGTCTCTGTCTGGTCACATTAAAAAATAGTAACAAATGGAATTAAATAAATAAATAATTCTTTAAAAAAATAAAAAAGAAACTAATTGTATGCCAAAAGGTAACAAGAGGCTCTTATTCCTTGTCCTGTATTTCCCAAAACCCTTTATTCCTGGTGAGTAACTTCATCAAGACAATACTGGGTAGTGCTGGGCGAGGCAGGCTGCCTATGTGTTCGGGCTTGCCTGCAGAGCTGTAAGCTGTACCTGCTGTGTGCAGAGGAGTTCTTCTAATTTTGCTTTCTGTCTTCCAGGCATCTGGGCAGACAGTGAGCAAGTACCAGAGGATCTGAGGGTGGCCTTCTCGACTGGCAATGTGAAAACTGCTCCAGCCATCTTTGTTCTTCAGGAGGGGGTTGGCACCATGTTCCACAAGCTCCTGGATCACCTCAAGATCCTTTCCTGTGCAAGCCATCATCAGAGGAGTCCTAAGTCAACCAGGACAAGCTGTCAGATGCAAGGCAGCAGAAGACAACAGAAGCAAGGGGCCAGGCCTTCAGAAAATACACATTCTTGGTACAGATGGAAAACTTAAGATTCTGGGGTCTGAGAGGCAGGAGAACAACTTTGACTGGCAACTCCTCTGCCTGCTGTGAGGACCCTGGGAGAAATGTAAAGGGGAAAACAATTCTGATGAATATGTAACTATGGGGGCTGGGGGCAGGGGACCTGGGATACAAAGCTGCCTATAAGCGAATTGACAGGACAGCAGTGAATCGGAACATAGGTAAATAAAACCACAGACAAATCGGATCACGAACACAACCATATCTACTTCCCATCCCCAGTGGGGAAGGTATACTTTGTTTAATTATCTGTCTCCTATTTTTTATTTGTGTAAGATCAGGAATCACTTGAAAATAGAAACTTCATTATGTTATAAACTTAAGGGGCCAGCAGTTGGTGTGGTGGTTAAAGGCACTGGATTCCCACATGGCTGATCAAATCCTGAACCTGGTGGCTTGCTTTCACACTTTCCCTCTCTCTGTCTCTCTCTGATCAAACTGGAAAATAATAATAAAGTTAAATAATTCTTAAAAATAAATAAATAATTATACTTAAGAAGTTAAGAATCAGGGCCAGCAGGTAGCATGGTGGTTAAGGCCCTGGATTCCCCCATGCATGGTTGAGTTTCAGACATACAGCTTGCTTTCTCAATCTCTCTCTGGTCAAATTGAATAATAATAATAATAATTAATAAACAAATAATTATTTTTTAAAAAAGGAAGTTAAGAACCTCTGAAGAGCCTGATACTCTGTGTGTGTGTATATATTTTTTTCTTTTTTTAAAGTTTTTTTTTTTGCCAGGGGCATCTGAGCTTGTTAGAGACAGAGAAAGAGAGAGAAAGTACCCTCCCTCCATGAGGGATGGTCACTTTGCAAGCCCATCTCTTTTCCCTCTTTTTGGAATTTTGGGCACATATGCACACATGCCTGGCAGGCAGTGTGTTTTTCAGGCATCTGGTTGGGAACTCAAACCATGGAATCAGCCATGTGGGATCCAGCTACTTTAACCACCATGGACTAAAAAATTATGTTGGGTCCCTGCCTGGCTGGATCCCAAATAGCTAACTGATACAGTTTGAGTCCCAGACCCAGTCCCAGAGCAGGACCTGAGAAACACGTCAGGCACATGTGGACGTGGGTCCAAAATCCTGAAAGGAAGGACAAAGAAAAGCTTACACAGTGACCATCCTTCATTGCAGCTGGTTTCTCTGTCTTATATATTATTTGGCAAAACTGAAAAAAAAAAAAAAAAGAACAAAAACAAAAGAAACTGATGTCACCTAATAAACGAAATCATGCATTTCATCTTTGTGATGGTAAGCTGAGTATCTTGATTATCCTGACTGGATGCAAGGTTGCACACGTGATAAAACTACACATTGCCTTACACACAGGTGCATGTTAACTGACGAAATCTGAGTAAGTCTGATTGTGACAATTCGATGAAAACAATGCAATTGGCTGGGAACCAGCAGTTAGCGTAATGGCTATGTCGCTGGACTCCCACGTAGTCGACCGCGGTTCGTGTCCAGACCCGGTGGCTTAAAACTCACGCCGGGCGTGTGTGCGTACGTGCCCAAGATCCCGAGAGGAGAATGGAGGAGAAGGGATTGCGGCGTGACCATCCCCCCTGGGGGGTGAGTTTTCGCTTTCTGTCTCTATGTCTCTCTCTGTCTGGCGAGCTCACGCGCCCTACAGTGAAAATCTCTCAAAAAAAAAAAAATGCAATTGGTGATAGTAATTTAGCTAGATGTTCCCAGAAGAATATGACATCCTGGGCCTACATGTAGTTCACGCAATTCATTAATTGCATTCTGTTCGAATATATTCTATATTGCTCTCTGCCTCACAAAGGTTAGTGACTGCCCTGATTAAAGTTAACCCCACAAGGAAAAGGACATAGTGGGCTATAGGTGCACTATAGGGGAAAGCTGAGGTAAATTGAACTTGCCCTTGAGCAAGCCTGGGATGAGAACGAGGAGCTGAGGAAACCTACAGTCTAGAGGAGGGTACCCGGAAACGTTGGCTTTTGCTGGGAATCGCAAGGCGGGTATCTTTCTGTAACCCCGCCACCTACCAGTCGGCCTTCTTCAGACAGTCGACCGCTGCCCCACAGCCCAGCAGGTAGCGTACGCAATCCGGGTGGCCCATGGAGGCAGCCTCGTGCAGAGGCCTCTTGTAGTCTCGGTTGGCGACCTCGATGTCCATACCCCAGACCTCGACCAGATAGGCCAGGATGTCCCGATGCCCATGGCGGGCAGCGCAGTGCAGCAGGGTGTCCCCTGCTGGTCCCGGGCAGCCTCTAGCTGGCCCCAGACAGCCTTCCGCCGCCTGCAGCTCTTCCTGCAGGGCATGCAGCCGGCCCTCCTGCACCAGCCGGCAGAGGTGCCGTAAATCCCCGGGCGGAGCCATCGCTGTGGGAGGGACGCCCAATCCGAGCGCTCCACCCCTGGGATCCAGTGGCCGGCATGGGCGTGGCTGACAGCAGGCGGAGGCTTCCGCTTCCTGCTTGTGAACCTCCCCCAAGGGCGACTCCCAGGGCTGCCACCCCCGGGTCCGACCCTATTATGCCCCTCTTCCGCCCATCTACGGGTGGGAGCAGCAGAGGTCCCTAGCGTAAGGTGGTGATTCCCCAGGAAGCAGAAGGACAGTGCCACCACGCTGGAGGACAGTTCTCTAGCGGTCCAGGTGCGCCTTCCCAGATGCTTCGAACCACGGTTCCGAGAGCGCACGCGGCTCCCGGGACTCCGCGCGTTGGTTGGCCTGGAGTTACTCCCTGCGGGGGTGTGTTGAGGGCCGAAAACTTAAGGGAATGGAGTGACCTGCTCCACCGGGAGGCCCTGAAGCGGGCCAGGGGGGCCGGGGCAGGCGCGCATAGTCTAGCTCAGCGGCCTGACCTGCACTGCGCCCGGCAGGAATGTGGCCCAGTCTCCACGGCCGCAGCCTGTCGAGCACAGGTTGACAGCAGCAGGGACGAGCGCGGGGCCGTGGGGAGGCTCGGTGTTCCGGTGCTCCGCCTCCAATCTGCCTTCCTTTGCAGCAGCTGAGACCCGGGAGATCGAAGAACTGTGGGAAAGTTTCCCCTCTCCCCCTGGGCCCCAGCGGAAGCGCGAGCGGGGCGTGGCTCGCTCCCGGTGGCCCGCGACGCCTCCTATGATGTGCGTTTCGATTGGTCGGAGGGACCGTCTGTCAACAAGGCCTCTCCAGTCCTGCGTTTCTCTCTATTGGTCGCCGGGGCCGTCTATCAGCTCCGGCGGCGGGCGCTTCCCGGGCAGCGACGGGGTGGAGCCGGAGGAGGAAGTCGGCGGCTGTGTTGGGCTATCTGTCCGCGAGGAGGAGGAGCTCGCTGCAGGGACGCAGGGCTGGGCAGCCGGCAGCAGCAGCCGCCGGGGGGGGGGGGGCGGGGCGCGGC